TGAAACACAATTATTTTGACTGCAAATGTCATTATTTGCTCTGAGATCATCTCGGGTTAATTGTGGAATGAAGAGAAGGGTGTTGATTGCCAGTATTGACACTGTCAGAGTGAGGCATTTTTCACCATTTCCTTGCCTTATAAGTTTGTGAGCATTGGGAAGTATTTGAATTCATGCCTGCCTCAGAAGGTTATATTGTATTTTTTTTTTGACAGACTCTACATTTTAGCCCACTTTGAAGGTTAGTTTCTGACTAAGAATACAGTGGTTTGTCACACCCAAAGTCTCATTCCAAACGTTCTTTCCCATGTATTGGAAACAAAGAGTATTCTTCCTGGTACCCAGAATTCTCTAAGAGTTTAAATATTAACACTATTCAATAAAAAAGGTGCTGTTTTTTGGATCCTGGAGACACTGTAACCTTCCCTTACTGAGCTGACCCTTCCTCCAGCAGGTTTTTAGAGGCAGTAAATCACATGGGAGAAGATTGTCCATCCTTCTCCCACAGAGCAGCCTGGTGGATTCGAACCATGTGCATTTAGGATTCAAATGTGGCTTCTTAAAACGAGGCCACCAGAGCTCGCTCTTTACTGACTAGTGTTTACTGACTAGTCTCTCTCTCTCTTTTTTAAATTTTTATTTATTTATTTATTTTATGTGTACCGTCAAATTGGATCTGACTGGTACAGGAGGTGATTGTTCCTCCTTCTTCAGCAGAGCATCTGGTGGATTTGAACTGCGCACCTCTGGGATTGCAGTGCAGTTTCCTGCCACTAGACCACCAGAGCTCGCCTAGTCTCTCTTTAAACCTCATTTTGAATGAGCTCTTTACTAGCTCAGCACAGTAAGGTCTTTATTGTTATTGTTTTGGGTTTTTTTTTTAGAAGTCAGAACCAATAACAGGAAAAGTGTTTTAAACCCCAGTTGTTGTTTGACTTCAAACTGATTCATTCCTACCTATTGCTGTGGTCGTTAAAGTGCCATCGCGTCGTAGGCGACTCATAGCGACTCTATGAATGAAAGACTTGAACAATTGTATAATTTTCATCATTTCTCCAAGTTCATAGGGTTTCCGGAGGCAAGCTGTTTCGGAAGTGGATGCCCCTCCTGCTTCCAAGCTTGTTTTAAACAGGAAACTCCACCAAACACTGTCCACCATGGGTAACCGTTATCACATTTGACACATCAGTGTCACAGTGTTCAGCATCACAGCAACCACAAGTTAACTCTGTACAGCAAATGGACAGTCCAGTGCTATACCACTTAGAAGAATGTTTGACCAAAAACAATAAAAACCAGGCCTGAGGGCCGCAGATTAAAATCACCCCCCTTTGACTTGGTAGCATAACTTTCTATCTACCAGGCGAACAGAGATCTCTCTATGTTGGTGGTGGTATTGTTAAGTGCTGTCAAATCGTAGACAACTCATAGCTACCCGATGAATGAAAGACCTGAACACTTGTATAACTTTCATCGTTTCTCCATGTTCATAGAGTTTCTTACCTATGTTTCCACCCTATATTTTAGACTCATACTGCATTTTATATTTCAGAGTAGAACGGTTTTTTAGAGTTTCCAAAATGGCAATCTTTCAGGTTTTCTTTTTAATTCGTGTGGAAGTTGACAAATCATTTTGTGTCCTCATTGAATCATCGATAGGCATTTTGCTTTATAATATTGATTATGATTGAATAATGTCATTAAATTACTACATTGTCTAATCTGCCCCTTAGTGTATATGGCTTTTTTCTTCACCCAACTTCTTTCTCTCTTTCTTACAAAACACTGTGTTTAGTATAAATTGAACTGGCAAAGGCACTAGTGTACAGGGGGCCTGGAGGCGAGGGTGGGGGAGGGAAATGGGAGCAGCCGTGTCAGTGGAAGGCTGGGAAGGTAGGTTTATTTAGTAATTTCTCTGTAGTTCTTCTAAAAGTAGACTTCAAAGCCGCTGGGGCGGGAGGGGGTGGGGCATCCAGAAGCTAAATGGGAAGAGGTATTTATTTCTACAAGCCCAGGGAGATACTTCAGCAGCGGTGGAGCCAGAGAACAGTCCCTAACGCTGGGTGCTGAGTGCTGCAGGGGCTCCTGTGTTTTGGGGGTGAGGTGATTCAGACTCAGAAAGCATCTTGTCTTTGCCTCTACAAAATTAGAAGGATATACGAGCAGGGAGAGAAATCATCTTCCTAAGGGGTTTTGCTCTTGAATTATAAAATTTCCTCCCCTAAAGCAAAAGGAAAAAAGAGAAAAGGTGAGCGCCACTCCAGAAATACCAAGGACCTCAGCTCTTTTGGCTCCAGCTCTGTGTGGAGGTAGGGTCAGGATCAGGGAGCTGCCACCCCCATCAGAGGTAATTTTTGGCGGGGTACTCAGAGGGCTGAGAGCTAAACTCTGTAGAGCAAAGAATGAGGGGCAGAGCCATGTCATGGTTGGGGTTCTGGGATCTCCAAAAGGGACATGAGACACCCAGCCTGGGTAGAGGGAGGCCCCCAGCTCCTTCTTCTGGGCCTGGGTGACCAAAGGGGATCCACCTTGTCTTTTAAGGGAGCGGATAGCCAGGGCTTTATTCCTGCCAAGCCATTGGTGGGCTGAACAACAGACTTTCCAGCTATTAGCCGAGTGCTTAGCACATTGTCACTAGGGTTCCTTTCACACCACTACCTCGTCTAAAGGGAGCACTGAGCACTGGTGGTCAGGTAGATAAGGAGTTGTACTGCCAACCCAGATGTAGGCAGTTCAAATCCACCAGCCGCTTCTTGAAAGAGAGATGTCTAATACCTGCTTGAGGGTGATGCTGTGAGTCACTTCCAACCTGACAGGCACGTAACACCACCTAGTCTAAATACGTGCAATTGTAACAAATATTTCTTGACACAGCCCTGCAATTTTTCTGCTATATCTTGTCCTGCTCTGTTCTTTTTCAAAAATATGTTGGCTGTGAGTCACTAGATGGGTTTTACAACCTGCTGGATAACAGTGTGCACTTGTAAAAGCAATGATCCAGTTAGTGCAAATCAAGCCTAAACTGTGGGTTCATACTTCCCTGTTCCTCACTTTATGTCATTGCTAGAATCAAATAGGTTTGTTTTCAAATTGTTGTTGTTAAGTGCCGTGGAGTCGTAGGTGACTCATAGCGACCCTGTGAACGAAAGTCCTCAACACTCGTGTGCGTGACTTTCATCCTTTCCTCAGGTTCATAGAGTTTCCAGAGGCAAGCTATTTCGGAAGTGGATGCCACTCCTGCTTCCAATCTTGTTTTAATTGGGAAGCTCCACCAAACACTGTCCACCATGGGTAACCATTATCACATTTGACACATCAGTGTCACAGTGTTCAGCTTCACAGCAACCACAAGTTACCTCTGTACAGCAAGTGGACACACCAGGGCTATAGGACCTAGAAGAAGGTTTGACCAACAACAATTTAAAACAGGCCTTAGGGCCGCAGATTAGAGTCACCCACCTTTGGCTTGGTAGCTTCCCTTTCACCCCACTAGGCCAACTGGTCTCTATATTGTTAAGTGCCGTCGAGTCGTTGAGTCGTAGGCAACTCATAGCGACTCTATGAACGAAAGTCCTTGACACTTGCATGCATGACTTTCATCCTCTCTCCAGGTTCATAGTTTCTGGAGACAAGCTGTTTCAGAAGTGGATGCCACTTCTGCTTCCAAGCTTGTTTTAATTGGGGAGCTCCACCAAACACTGTCCACCATGGGTAACCATTAACGCATTTGACACAAGTGTCACAGTGTTCAGCTTCACAGTGACCACAAGTTACCTCTGTACAGCAAGTGGACAGACCAGGGCTATACGACCTAGGGGCAAATATTACTAGGCCTTCTCCATTTTCATAAAGCAGTGAAGGTCATTTTTGTAGGCTCTTCGTCCTTTGGAGGAGGTATGAAGCTGGCCTGGTAGGGACTGTCCACATCACTGGCTGGGAGCCTGTTCTGTCTGGCTGCAAAGTCTGTGCTCTTAGCAATACTTTACAGTCTCCTAGACACATACAGCGCCTTGGGATACAGTTTCATTTGCTGAAAGGATCTGGACGTTTTTCCTAAGCTTGGCCTTCATATCAACTGTTGACTAATTTTTATTAAATTTGCTAATTTTCTTGTAGGAATCTCTAGTGGCTTAGTGGTAAGGAATTATGCTGCCAGCTCAAAGGTGTGAGGTTTGAATCTACCAGGTGCTTCATAGGTGAAGGATGAGCAGTCTCCTTCCATGTGATTTCCTGCCTCTAAAACCGATTGAAGGGTCAGCTGTGGGTCAGATCTGACTGGACTGCACTTAACAGCGACAACTATACCAGAGATGGTGAAGGTGGCACAGGGTAGGACATTGTTCATAGACAGGTTTGTTCGGAGTTGTCATTGACTCGAAGGTACATAATAGCAACAGTTAATAAGAAATGCAGAAAGTATCTCTGCTTTAATATCCATTGACGTTATGGAGCACATTCTTAGGCTAGGTTTTTTAAAAAAAATAGAGTTCCTGGGTCAAAGGATGTGGACTTTTTTAAGACTCCTGACACTGCTGGGTCACGTTTTAGGAAGATCAAGATTCTAGAGCTGGCCATTGATTTATTAATTTTTTTTTAACTGAGAGAAATGCAAAACTCAAGCTCATTGCCTTCAAGTCTGAACCAACTCCTAGCTGGCTGGCCCTCCAGCGTATTTTCTGAGATTGCAGTTGCCTGGGAGAACATTGCCTGTCTTTCTTTCTTGGAGCAGCGGGTAGATTGAAATCACTAGAGAGGCACCACCTTCGGGCCCGTAGCTCAGCTCCCTAACCTTTAAACTTTCTACCAGAGCCCCCTAAAGCTGAGAGAGACATGATTTATTCAGCATTTGTGTGTGAGGAGCGTCAGAGGAGAGGAGATTGGACTGACACTGTACGAATGGTGAAGCCCCATCCTTAAAGAGGGAGGTTGAGGGCAAGAAATCAGCACCCACTGCATTTGCTGCATTTCCTGAAAGAGGAAGAAAATATGTTAGACTGGGCATGGAGGTGAGCAAGTTTGTGTACATGGGTGTGTGGATATGTGGGTACAAATGTGTGTACATGGGTGTGTGAATGTGGGAGGGGATAAGGAAACCCAGAAGAATGGCTTTTAGCCTCTGTTCACAGGCAAGGGGTGAGGATGGAGGTGGGAAATCCGAGGGCCATGGTGGTGACTTGGAGGACTCCATGTGATGCGTAGAGGGGAACTCTCCTGGAATCTCATGCATGAGAAGGGATGTGGAGAGTGTTTCCTGTTAACATTGGAGGTTCTGCTGAGTCCGGACACCGTGCATTTATAGTAGTACCAATCTTGCAAGGGTTTTGTGCATTTGCTGTGTGACACAAACCGTGCAATAGCTGAGCTAACTCTATCTGGAAATTTGCAAATTGGGTGCAGAGATTGGAAAGGAAGCCAAAGAGTTGAGGATCTTGGCAATGCATTGTTGTTTAAGTGTGTCAGATGATCCAAGTTATACAGTTGGGCCTAACAGACTGGTGGAGTTGGAGGAAAGGAACAGAGTCTGTACATTTTTCATATTTGCATTCAGATCTGGAGATACAGGTTAGTCCTGAAAAGGTGGTTTTCATGGAGAGACAGTGTCAGGAATGGTTCCTGGTCACCTCTCTTTCTCTCTCTCTCTTTTTTTAAATGTTTGAAGCAGATATGTGTTCATTTCATGGAGTTATGTTAGAAGCAGGAGGATTAGCAAATAAGAACGAAAGAAAGCTTGTGCTGGTTCAGTGTAGCAAAGACTGTTGGTAGCAGGTCATGTCATGATTTCCCTCAAAGAGTTAATGAGGCGTATTCAGTAGCCATCCTGGGTGTGCTTCAGAGAGCCTGGTGCCAAAAACACCCAGAGCAGTTTAAGTGCTGAGTCAGAGAGAGCATTCTGGGGCAGCCCCAGGTGGTTCCCGGATGGCTCCAGTGGACACTCCGGAGACAAGGAATGCTTAGAACAACCTCACGTGCTTGGAGTTGAGTGAGCCTTCTGAGTGGTGGTCAGAGGGCTTCCCGAGCCAGTTGCCCACCGAGGTCCCGTGGAGCAAACCGGTTCTGCTCTGCACACTTCATTGGGCTTTGTGGTTATTTCTGGAGCTGACTTTCCTGGGTTGAGTGTGTCCAGTCTCTCCATTGTCCATTTCTTCCCAGCAGCTTCAGGGAAAGGATTGTCCAGATGTTCTTTTCTTTTTTTTTTTTTTTCCTTTAAATTTTACTAATTTTAATGAACGTTTACAGAGACTTTGGATGTTCTTTTCTGAAGTAAGATGAAGTTTGTAGATGACATTAGCTGAACTCAAGTTGATGCTCAGTAAATATAGACAAAAAGTTCCTCCGATTGCACCCCCTTTCTCATGCTAATGCTAATCAAAAATGGTATTTGACTAACCTCTTGACATACCTTATTCAAATGTGCCTTGAAAGACAAAATCGCTGTTAGGGTTAATGGGTTGCTGGAGGTGATGAACTCTTGCGAGTCAGTACAGCTCATGCTGCTGGTTCTCTAAAGTGACACCATTAGATCTGGAGAGATAGCGACTCCACAGCACACGTTGGGCCGGGTTCCTGCCCTGGAGAGGACCCGTCTTTCAACGCTGTTGTGTGTGATGAAATGATTCCGTCTGTGCTCCTTCTGAATTTAGACACTTTTATTCTTTATATGGGCTTTGTGCCTGCGTGCCTTGTGCTCCTGATAATCCTTTCTTGGACTTGGTTATTAGGATGAGAAAGTGCTTTGTGTTTATTGTTGTACATTATTGATCCCTGCTAAGAAGGTAGGTACTTGATTCTGAAATGAACCGGCACTATATAAGTGTGGATATTAACCTCCCATTAAACTCAACGGTAGACCCAGCTTTTTAAGGGAGCTGGAGGTAGCATTGAAGAGGAATTTTTAGGCTTTGACGAAATCTCCGGAGACACTCAACAATAATAATTACACATTTACAAAATAGAACCAATAAGGCAAAGACAGTAAACGGGCGATTTATTTTGGAAAGGAAAGGCTTAGACTCAAATGCTGTCTTCAAATGTGTGAAGCACTCAGGTGGCACAAGTAGTTCAAAGGCTTGGCTACAAACTGAAAGACTGGCGGTTCGAGTTCGCCCACAGTTGCCTGGGAATATCTGCTTCTGAAAAGTCCCAGTGTCTTAAAGCTTTGTGTTGTGCAGTTCCCCTTTGGTACATAGGGGGTCATCAAGAGTCGGAATTGAATTGACAGTGAGTTTCTTTGATTATTTTGGGTTTTAACTAAGTAAAAAATGAAGATACACATGTTCCCCCTTTTCTGTGTATACTCTGTGAATAAAATAAGGGAAAATTAGTTTGGGTTGCAACAGTGGAGATTGTAGATTAGATGAGAAAAACACGTTTTCTGGCTGGAAATTAGAAGTGAACCACTACCACCACCATCAAGTGCGTGTGCATATTTTATTTCTCTAGTAAGACTAACTAGTTGCTCGATATTGGCTTGGATAGTCTTTGTCTGTTGGTGTTCACAAGCTAAGCCTTGTCCTGGAGCCCCTGAGGTTCTGTGATTTGATAATCATAGGGTTTTGCAGTTTTAGAATGTCAGCCACTCTTGGGATTATCTCTTCGTGGAAGCAGAAATAACCTTTCTCAGTGTGATACTAAGACAATAGTTACTGTGTTCCCTGGTGAATTATTTATACCTGTGCTGACAGTGAAACGAGTATTAAGGAAAATGCTGTTTTCTAAGCAGGTATTTAAAATGCCTGACAGAGGGTGATTTTTCGTAAAAGCTGCTAGATGAGCAAGGCTTTTAAACTTGATTTCGCTTCACTTGTGCTCTCCATCCTTAGATCCTTGTTATAAGTAACATTTCCTTCCAAAGCTTAAAAAGCTAAGACCTCAAACCCCATAAGCAGAGGAAGCTCTCAGACTGGAGCCTGGTTCCATTTGCCTGTGATAGCGCCACCTAGTGAGGGTTGTGCTCTGTATTGACTTGTCTACAGTCCCAGCAAGGCAGGCAGCTGAGAGGAAGCACAGTGTCCAGCCATCCAGGAGGGCCACTCGGATGGTCGGGCTCAGTGACCCCTTAGTGCCCTCTTTGGCTCCAGTCCCTCCCACCAGCCTTTTTCTATCTCTAGGATCAGTGGTCCCTTCCTCTCTGGCTGGGGCCAGCAGCAGTAGGCAGAGGGGGTGGCAGGGCCAGGTCTCCTGCAGAAGTGGTGCTCAGAATGGGGTCCTGCCAGGTACACACCGCTGATGGCAGCAGGGGCTGTGCGAGGGGCTGCAGAGTCCATAGAGTTCCCCCAAGGTAGAGACCAGGGGCATGGCCCCTACTTCAGACAGGGTGACTAGCCAGGCAGCCAAATGCCATGGCTTTTCAAACCTAGGCCCTTGGGTGGCTTTAGTAAGTAGGCTGTTAGCATGTTAAGCCAAAGGTTACATGCCTCCAGTGGTTCAAATCCAGCAACTGCTCAGTAAGAGAGATGGCAGTCTCCTGTTGTTAAGATGTACAGCCTTGCAGACTGGATGCAGGGTCGCTTAGAGTTGAAACTGTCTCCATGGTAGTAAGCTTGAGTTTTGGGTTATAAAACAAACCTCCTTAAGAAAATGAGTTTAAAATTCTGTACATTGTAGAAGAGGCTTTTCAGTTGTTATTTATTTTTACCTTCTTTTTAAAATAACTAGGTTTTGGTGCAACCACTATGGAAGGCACTATGGTGTTTTCTTTTTTTTTCTTTTCTTATAATGAAGTATCTGTTCTGTTGTGCATAGGGTTTTCAGAGGCCTGCTATTTCAGAAGTGGGTGGCCAATCCTTCTTCCTAGTCTGTCTTAATCTGAATGTTGATTTGGTGACTGGGGTAATCGGGATGGGTGTGTCAGAGGCAGTGTGGTTGGCGCAGGATAGAGCAGGGTTTAGGGTTGTTGTGCATAGGGTCGCTATGAGTCGAAAACGACTCGACGGCACATAACAACAACAACAACAACAACATAATGAAGTATACTTTTTTATTATATATTCACGAAATATGACACCTGAAAAAAATATATATAAATATCCCACCTTGAGGAGCACTGGTGACCTAGTGTCAAGAAGCTGCACTGCAATCCCCATGGCACATGGTTCAAATCCAGCAGCTGCTTCCTGGGAGAAGGATGGGCAGTCTCCTCCCATGCAATTAACTGCTTCTGAAAACCCACAGGGGGTCTGCTATTGTTCAGATCTATCTTGATGGTACATAACAACAATCCCACCTTAACCACCTACTTCTCACTATTGTCAAGTTATGGAACTCTGGAGGCCTAGTCCCTTGGAATTTTTACCACTATCCCAAAGGTGGAGATTTTTCTGGTCATTTGAATCCACCAGTCATTCCCCTGGAGAAAGATGGACAATCCACTCTTCTGCAAATCATAGCCTCCTGAAAATTTACTGGAGGGTCAGCTAAGAGTTGGTTCAACTTGACAGCAGTGAGTGGTCTTATTATTTTCTTAAATTTTGAAAATATTTTTTTTATATATTATTCAAAATACTGTACAATTTGCCCTTTAAAAATACATAATTAGTGATTTTGAAGTTTATTTATAGAGAAATGCAGTCATTAAAGATGGAAATACAAATACCATTTGACCTAGCAGTTCCACTACTGGGAGTATACTCTAAAGAAACCAGAACTGCCACCCAAGCAGATATATGCACACCCATGTTTATTGCGGCTTTGTTCCAATAACAAAGAGTTGGAAACAACCCAAGTGCCCATCAACAAACACAATGGAATATTATGCTGCATTGAAAAACAAGGAACTCATCAAATATTATACAAAATAGGTGACCCTGGAGGACATTATGCTGAATGAAATATCTCAGTTACAAAAAGACAAATACAGCATAATGCCACAGTTATAGAACAGGACTAATATGGGGGTTGAGGGAAAACTAAGAAAAGAGGGGATAAATAATCTACATGGCATTGAAATAAATGAGGGAGAGAACATATAAAAGGAGTATATGAGTAGGTGGTATTGGCATGACGAGAGTCCAGAATAAGAGCTGCATAGTAAAGTGGTCGGGGGTGGGAGTGGGGGATGGACGGACTGTATAACAATGAAAGAACTTTTTTCCCCAAAGCAAAAAAGTGACCTGGGGCAAAGGGGGACATGGAGGAAAATGTGCAACAATGAATGAATGGAGACCCAAGTTCTTTATAAGTTTTCATTAAAATATAAAACAAAATGAAATGAAAAAAATTGTCCCATCTGTGGCTATTACAGTATGACTAGCGTAAATATTTTCAAATCATCAGTGTAAATAAGCTGTATGTTATCAAATTAGAGTTTAGTAAAAGTCAACTAAAGCTGTCTGTGGAAATCATTTGTGTATGTGGGACTTAGAATGAAGAGTATTATATATTTTATTATTGTCCATATTTACCATATTTATAAACTATGAGCTATATATCCTTAAAAAAATAGCTGGTTTTTCTTTTAATTGTATATTTTCCTTTTGCTATAATTTTAAAAGCCATCCCCAAACAACATAATGTTTTCATTTTAAATTTGTTCTTCTAATACTGTGGATCAAGAAAGAGAATCTCTCATAAAAAGGAAAATCTGGCATTTTCTGAAAATCAAATTCATCCAACCTCCCAACAAACCACAGTAAATTTCTAAATATCCGTTATTCCTTTAACGCATGTCACATCTTATGGAAATAGGAACATTGGCATCAAATATACACTTTGGGACAAACATTAAAATTTAGCTGTTTCCTAGTGTTGAAGACATAGACCATTTAAATGGTTTACAGGTCTTTTAAGATGCTAACCACAGATGTGCCTTGAGAAGAGGATGCTAACGCTGGAGACGCAGGAGGGTGCCTTACTCATGTATCTTATCACTCTTTGCCCGTGCTGAGCCCTTTAATTACGTCTCCACAGTCTGTCTGTATTATTAGGTTCTGTGATTGTGACATAGAACAAGTATGTATTTTCTATGTAAGTAAACTCACCCACAGTTTTCAGTAGTTTTTCTTTTTTGGCTTCTGAAAGATAACTTTTTTGTTTTGTTTTAAAAATTATATATTTGTGTCCCTCTAACAGGTCTTTGGGGAGCTCGGGTGGCCTAGCGGTAAGAAGCTTAGCTGCAATCCCAAAGGCACGCAGCTTGAATCCCCCAGCTGCCTCTGTGTGAGGAGACTGGGCAGTTCCTCCTGTGCGATTTACTGCCTCGCAAAACCGCCTGGAGGGTCAGCTGTGGGTTAGGTCTGACTCCACGGCTTACAGCAGCAGCAACAACAACACTGGGTGTGCAAAAGAAGCACTGTGGCACTAGTATGTGAAGTTGAAAATCAAATTCAACTTTTCAACTGAAAATTCGAATTTTCAACTGAAAGGTTGACAGTTCAAATCCATGAGCTGCTTCCAGGGCAAAAGATGAGACAGTCTCATCCTGTTAAAGATTTTACAGGCTTCGGAACGTGATGGTGGGTTACACGAGAGTCACCGTGACTGACTGAGCAGTACAAGTTTGGATTTTCTTTTCTTTCCTTCTTGGAATGGGTCTATGACTCTTAAAGGAATGAAAAAAAATCTATCAAACAAACAAACAAAACACCCCTTGGAGAAGGACTTCATGCTTGGGAGGATGGAGGGACAGCACAGGAGAGGAAAACCCAGGAGATGGATTGATACAGTAACTGGGGTAGTGGAAGTCGGGGTCTCAGAGACAGTGAGATTGGCTCAGGATAGGACATGGTTCAGAAAGGTATTGTGCACAGGATTGCTGTGAGTCACAAGCGACTTGACGGCACGTACCAACAACAACAACGTCTGACTTATCATCCCGTAATACAAGGATGCTACGTTTGTGATGTGCACATTTCTTTTCTCTGAATGACTAGTTTCACAACTGTCTCAGGAGCAGGTTTCCATGCAGTCAGTTTATCCTGAGGATTTCCTGTCTGTGTAAACCATGTTCAGTGTCTGCTGAGAAGACTGGCTGACCAGGCTCTGCCCTCTGTTGCTTTTGCCCTAGATACATTTCATCCTGCTCTTCAGTCGACAAGGGAAGTTACGGCTGCAGAAGTGGTACACCACCCTCCAGGACAAGGAACGGAAGAAGATCTCCCGGGAAATCGTCCAGATTATTCTCTCTCGTAATCAGAAGACGAGCAGCTTCATTGACTGGAAGGACCTCAAACTTGTTTATAAAAGGTGTGAGTAGCTTTCTGAGAACCAGCTTTCTCATTTTTGCGGTGGGGTGCTCTAATCTTGAATATTTTAGATTTCAACACCAGTTCTTTCATTTACTGACAATTTGGCTAGGCTGGGCTTTAAATATGTTTATCAATAATCTATGTACCAATTAGAAAAACACTTTCACTCATTGAAAGTCCTTCCCTGTGCTAGGAGAGACTGTAGGGACTTAGTCTCTGCACACATGCTTTTGGCAGTTACTTTATAAGCATTTGTTAGAGTCCTTGATCTGTTCTAATGGCTGTGGATGGAGCTGTTAAGAAGACACACTATTCATGCTTTCATAGGCTTGCTTACTTGTTAAATAAACAAACTTATCATTTAGTAATATGGGAACAAGAATGCGAGCTCGTGTCAGACAGAGAAACAGGGGCTGTGTTTGATGGGGCATCTCTTAGTTTCGTTCATGTTTGCAGATGAATAAACTGCAGAGAATGTAATTAGCTAGCTAGTCTCCGACCACACTAATCGAGTCCTGATTGTCAGAGCCAGGATTCTTATCCAGACCTTCTGTCTTCAAAGCCCAATACTTTTTTTTTTTCATACCTCCCTGCCATGGGGAGAGAAACCTTAGCTTAGAGATGTGACAAGTGAGGCCCTGAGAGGTAAGGGTTTGTCAGTGAAGACCTAGGCCACTGATCTGTAAGCCAGGTCCAGCAATCCCTGGGTATAAATGTGTCAGTGGTGAACATACCAAGCTGCTAACTGGAGGTTTAGTGGGCAGAGTTCACCTGGAGATGCTGTGGAAGAAAGGCCTGACACTCTACTTCTGAGAATTCGGCCATGACCGCTGGAGGGAGCACTGTTCTGCTCTGACTCCCATTGGGTCACCATGTGTCAGAATCTATCGTGGCAACTTTTCTCTCCTTTTTTTCAGCCCAAACCGGAACACAACTTATCCTGAGTGTATCATTTCTGCTACAGTTATTAGAGGAGAAATATGTTAAAAATATGTTACAAAGGGTGTTGATAAAACCTAATGGGGGAAAACCCAGCAGTGGCCTCCACAGGCTGATACTGGATGGAAAAGCCTGGGCACAGCTCCTTGTCCTGGTCCAGGCTCAGAGCTTGGAGTACCAGCATCCTTCAGGATGTCATCGAAGGCTCTTCATAGTTCTAGCCCCCCATAGATGGTGGCAAGATCAAGTCCCAGGAAACCGACAGGAGTCTTGCGCCACATTCTGCCTGCTGGTTTTAGAATGTCGGGTTCATTCGTTTGTAGTGACAACAGCCATGTGAAGAATAGACATTGGTGGTTCTTGCAACAGGTGATCATAAGCACTTGGTATCCGGTAGCAAACAGAGCCAGGTCCCTGTGTTGATGAACCCAGTTATCAAGATGAGGGTCTCATGTCAGCTCTGCAGTTGACAGGGAAGAAACTGGACACGTGGTTGAGGAGGGTACGGGAATGAATAGCAGGTATATCCAGTCCCAGAAGAGAGAGATGATTTGGAGGAAATGACATCCAGTCTAGTAGCTAAGGGAGAAATAGGAGCCAACAGATGAATGGGCAACAGAGAAGAGTATTTCCTGGGGAAGAATCATGCTGGAAGCAGAGGAACCAGACGCGGCAGACTGACGATGGGGGTCAGGTCCATGACAGTGTGGGAGCTCTGGGGGTCAGGTGAGAGGGTGGGGCTCCTGAGAGCCCGGGCCAGAGCATTGAACTCCAGAAAGAACAGTTCACGACCAAGGGAGTGGCATGAACAGACATCCCAGTTACCAGGGGACAGAGCACTCTGTCTATTATGATGATGATGATGATGTGTGCTGTCAAATTGGATCTGACTGGTATAGGAGGAGATTGCCCCTCCTTCTCCAGCAAAGCATCTGGTGGATTCGAACTGCTTACCTTTGGGATTGCCATGCAGCTTCTTGCCACTAGGCCACCAGAGCTCCCTTCTTTTTCTTTTTTATTATTAATTTTAATGAAAGTTTACAGAGACCCTGAATTTCCATTCATTCATTGTTGCAAGCGGACTCTGTCTTCCTGAGAGTGTCTCTTCATGGAAAAATTGTTTTTAAATTTGAGTGTGAGTTTACAGATCATATGGGCTTTTCATTCATATACATTTTGTTTGTAACATTGTAATTAAAACTTCATTCAATAGCTCTTACACATTTTGATTTATAATAGTATAATTATACTTTGCCTAGATTATTCATACACATTTTATTATAAAGCAAAAATTGCCTTAGATTAATAGAATTAATTGCAATGTCTAATAAACCTCTCCAGGGAAAATCTTTGTTGAGAGCCTTTCGTGAAAGTCACAGGAGTAATCTAGTTCACACACTTTTTTTACACAGTCTCTCTTATATGTCGTGGTTGCTGTGAAGCTGAACACTGTGACACTGATATGTCAAATGCGATAATGGTTACTCATGGTGGATGGTGTTTGGTGGAGCTCCCCGATTAAAACAAGCTTGGAAGCAGGAGTGGCATCCACTTCCACAATAGCTTACCTCCAGAAACTTTATGAACCTGGAGAAAGGACAAAAGTTAGACAGGAGGTGTCCAGGACTTTCATTCACAGCGTCACTTTGAGTTGCCTGCGACTCAACGGCACTTAACAACAACAACTCTTATATGTCAGGAAGTTGTTATTTAAGTAAAGTTCTTCTAGGAGGGGCAGGCTTCTTGGACAGGAGCCGCAAGGCGATCGGTGGGGAAAGACTGTGTTCAGCTTGTTCTGGGTGTCACGGTGTTTTACCTCCTGTTGTTTTCTTTTCAAGGTACGCTAGTTTATATTTTTGCTGTGCAATAGAAAATCAGGACAATGAGCTCTTGACACTAGAGATTGTGCACCGTTACGTGGAGTTGCTGGACAACTACTTTGGAAATGTAAGTGCTGTGCGCTGGGCTCTCAGAATTAGTCACTCTGTCTGTCCCCTGCTGTTCCTCTGCTTCTGGCTCCTCTGCTCTTTGAAGCCAAAGTGTGAACAGCATTTGTACCGAGAATCCTCTCACAAGACGACCTCAGATCAGAATGCAGAGATTTCCCCCTTCTGATAATTTTTAACAAATGAAGCAGCCAAAGCTTTCAAGAGGTTGATATTTCTCTCTTCATACCACACGCTGGAGCCCTTGTCAGTTCACTGGTCCAGTGAACTGGAATTTCACTGGGAAAGATTCCATGGTGTTCTATCTCATAGTCTTCTTCCATTTTGCTGTCTCTCTTTATTTTGTCTTTCTGTCCGCTCTCTGACTGCTTCTTTCCAAGCTATAAATATTCTTTAATCTTATTTATACACTTAAGTAGGAAAAAAAAAATGGTAAGCAGTCAACAACAACAACAACAAAATTTTCCAATCCTTTTTTTCACAGTGTGGCCCCTCAGTCTTCTGTCCCTGACGGGCCAGCAGCACTGTGCTGGGTGCCCAGTCCTCAGAACTCAGTCTTCCGCAGGGACAGCTTGTGTTCCAGCCTTGTTCCAGGGAAATCGTTGCTCCCCTGGCTCCGCCCGAGGAGGACAGACCCCAGTGTTGCTCCTTCACCTCCAGGGCCTCTGTTCTGAGCTGGATTCTGACTCAGGACACTCCAACCTTGTCCTCTGACATTGTTCCATGATGCTGAGTTCGGTTGGTCCCCAGCCTGGCTTCCTGAAGGTCCTGTCCAGGTTCCTCCTCTGACCTCTCACTGCCCCTTGTCTTCCTGCCTTCCTCTTTGTCTCTCTGACCTTGACCTTCTTTCTGGAAACTCAGTCCTGCATTGGTAGGTAGCTAGCCTGTCCTCTGTGGCCGACAACCCTCGTTGGATCCACAGAGTCACATCAGCCTAAATATGACCCAAATAACACTGGGTCATCTTCCAGAAACTCTTTTTTTCTGTTTTAGTGACGGATTGACTCTGCTTCTGGTTCCTTCAATGCAAAGGACAGTGTTTGCTTTCTCTAACTCTCCTCCTTGCCGCATACTCACCTCTGTGTATTCCAGTTCGACTAAGGTTCATCTCCACCTTCTCTCACTAATAGATCTTTGCTCTTCTCTATTAGCCTTGTATCTAGTCCTTTCTGCTCTGGATTCCTCGACATTTCCTGCCCTGGTTTGTGATCGGTAAAGAATATAATGAAAAACATCAGGCCCAGATTGTTCTTGGAGAAGGACGTCATGCTCGGAAAGGTGGGAGATCAGTGAAAAAGTGGAGGGCCCTCAGCAAGATGAACTAACACAGTGACTTTACCACTGACCTCATACCTATCACTCAGGTGGTCTAGTGGTAAGGAACTGTGCTGCCAACCCAAAGGTACATGGTTCTAATCTCCCAGTTGCTCTGCAGGAGAAAGATGGGCAGTCTCCTCTGGTGCAGTTAACTGCCTCTGAAAACCTACTGGAGGGTCAGGTATGAGTTGGTTCAGACCCAACGGTACACAACAACAACAACAACAACAACAAGAAGCATACAAGACCTGGCAAGGCTGGAGCAGGGTAGGGCAGGGTTCAGATCCGTTGTCTGGAGGGTCGCTGTGAGTTGTAATTGATTTGATGGATAATAACAACAACAGCTTCTCTGGCCTTCTAACTTTTCTCCTTTCATATCTTTGGACACGTTCAAGGCTCCAGTGGCTCGGAACAGCTCTTCACCTTGTACACGATAGGCTTGATCACAGAACTGCAGGTCCCCCTGGGCTCTAACCTGGGTCTTAGTATTTTATTTTTTATCACTGTAATCACCTCTGGGCCAGGTTGTGGTAAATGTTCCAGAAACATTTAATCCAGCTCAGTCTTAAGAGGCAAATCATTACACATTCAAGCGTCCAGTGACAGTGCTGAGAGAGGCTGTGGGCAAATTCCTGAATGATCCAGGAAGCATCAAAACAACATGGAAGGAATAAAAAAAGGAAAAGAAACAAATCACTAATATGTGAAATGTTTTCTCCTTAGTGACGCTTTCTCCACTGTTTCTTTGTTCACTAAAATTTAATTTGTCACTGTTAGGAGAATTTGCTCTCTGTTGAGAATACAGGAGTTCTCTCTATTCTGTTCACTGGGATGAGCAACATTTCCTGTTTTGATCAAGAGTTTGTCAGATTTTTTGTAACACAGCTTTTCACAGGGGCGAATGTTTGAAAAGTTCCTGGGCTTCCTCTGTCTCCTCCTCCTCCTTTTTCCCCCCTGGTTCATGTCTCCTTTTTATAAATGAAGTTATAAAACCGGAGGCCTCTCAGGAGGAAGACTGGCAGTTTACACTGGTGGAAACCTGCTGGAGGGTCAGTTGTGAGTCAGTTCCGACTCACCTGCAGTGAATAAGTGATTGATTATTTTCATTAGGAGCCCTGATGGTTCGATTGGCTTTGGGATGTACCCACAAGAAAAACAAGCTGATAATCTGCTTCTATGAGAACAAACTCAAACTCAACGCCCACTGACCCTCTGTCAGTTTTCTGAGGCTGTAAAGTCAATCTTTATAGGTGAATACTGCCCGTCTCTCTCCAGCAGAGCAGCTAGTGGGTTCAAACTTGTGACCTTTCAGTTTGCAGCGTAATTTATAACAGGCCGTGCCAGCGGAGCATCCTAGGAGATTCTGTGGGGGCAGTGTGGCTCTTCCCTGTGTGCTGACTGTGGGTCAGAATCCCACAGAGCAGCATGACTTCAATGAATTCTGACACATTGGCATCACCTTTTAAAAGAAGCCACTGAAGTGGCCTTTTGGAAGGCCCTGCCTGCTCCGCGCATTTCCCTTCTCTGCTTCTGCCTCTTGTTTTCTCCGGGTTAAACCAACCGTGGTAATGCGAATTGGGGTTGCCCTTGATCTCAGTCTGACTGCATTACAAGCAAAGATTTCAGAATACCTTGTGATCCTCAAGAGAATTGAATCACCTTCACCGATGTTAAACCCAGTTAGAAGTACGCAGAGAGTCAGGATGAATTCCTCTTTCTGTACCATTCATTTTCCGGCCTCTTTTGGCATACCTTTAGAAGCTCTGTCTTTGTCAAGAACCTAAATTTAATTCGCTACAAAATTCAATGCATCTTTGATTAAGCTAAGAGCAGCTACGAGCAGTCCAAGGCTATATGCCCGGTAGGTGTTCCGTTCTTATTAATTAACAGTGATGGGCAAAGCTTCCAGCACTGATTCGCATTGACACTGTTTCAGAAGGAATAGATTTCTCTTAAAATATTTTTCTTTTCCTCTTGTGCTAATATTGCAGATTTTGCCCTTGAGATATCCAGGGGGGACCTTTGCACATACCTTCTCTTAGACTGCAAAGGACTATCTTCCTGTGAGGAATAACCCCTAATCTTTAGCTATTAATTTATGTACCATTTTCTTTCTTTCTTTTTTTTTTTTGCCTTTTAGCACTTTTCCATTCCAAGGAGATTTGCAAGGATTAATCAGTTAATCTTTCGATCTTTAGTAAGTGGCATTAACCCCAATTTACAGAAGCTGAGATGCCTTAGCATCTCACAGTAGATAAGAGTTGCTTGAGGACTGAATGGATTGCCATGTTTTTCTGTTACAGTTTATAAGGTAAATTTTGACTGCTGCCTTCAGGGTGCGTGGATGTCCCTGTTTCAGAGAAGATTTGACCTTGACTTAGGGAGTTTTCTTGTGAGAAGAGTCCTGTGAGTCAGGGAGCCTGGCGTCAGTTTTCTCACCAATAAGACTGTGCCTTATCTCATTTTACAGAAGGGAAAAGTGATCCTCACAAAGGCTAATAGAAATATTTATTTGCTGACCTCATGAAATTGCTATGAGGATTGCACTGACAGTGTAAAATAATAAGACTTTATAAAATGGTCAGTTGTATAGTAATAATAATATATAGTTATAATGTCTGAAGGAGTTTGGGTCATGTGTGGCCTGGTGCTTTCCTAACCGAAAGGTCAGTGGTTTGAATCCACTAGCCTGCTCTGTGGGAGAAGGATAAGCAGCTCTTGGTTTCTTTATAAGCTTATTTCAAAATACAGAAACGTGGAAAAAAGTAAATAAAAGATGCTCATTCATTCATTAATGGTCTGAGTGAGAAGAAAGCCATACACATTTGCCTAATAAGATGGAATGGAGTCACCCAACATCAAAAGTTAATTTCTGGTATTCTGGAGAAAGCTTTCTGAAGTTAGTAGTACAGGGCTTAAAACACTCGGTTGCAAACAGGTGGACAACCTGCTCTCACCAGCTGCCCCAGGGAGAAATCCCAGACAGTTAGCTTCCAGAAGATTCCACCCTCAGGAACTCGGTGAGACAGTTCCGTGCTCTGTAGGACCTTTAGGAGTCAGAATCAATTCAGTGGCGGTGGGCTTGTGTTGGTGAGGACTTAAACAGTGGCTGAGGAAACCTGAAGCGGTCCAAGGGTCTCCTGCAGCGTTTACCATTGCTCTCAAATGAAAAAAAAAACCCCTTTGTTTTAGGGATCAGATCACTGAGTAGCTCTGGAGCTGCTGTGGGATGCTCGGTAATGCCAGTGGAAATGGAGCCTACACTTCCATCTGCCTTATGGTCTGCAGATGTGAGTGGCATATACCCACCTTACCCTTGTGTGTCCCTGTGTTGTCATACTTGGGATGCCACTTTTCACCACTAGATACATGAGGTTGACTCTGACCTTGGCGGTCCCATATCATAGTAGGACATATACACTCCATGGAGGTGTCAGTGGTTGATTTGTTTGGGACGTAGAGCACCAGGCCCTTTCTTCCGAGCTGCCTCTGGGTGGACTCCAACCTCCAACCTTCCATTTAGCTGCTGAGTGTGTTAATTGTACCACCCTGAACTTTAACCCTGGCAAGCAGGGCAGTAAACTCTGCTGGAGAGCACACCAGACCTGGGGTGATTGTTGATCTGAGAGTGGGATATGGAATAAGGAATCTGCATTGGTCTCTGTCAGATTCACTTTGCAGGGCTCTGCTGCTGGCTTTTCGTGATGAGGCACCTGGCTTGAACTCTGCGATTCCTCAGCTCGCCTCTTGCTCCTGTCACTCCTGACTTCTCGTCTCTTCTGACTGCTGGTAACCGCTCCTTCTCCTACCTTCTTTCCTGTGCATGAGTGTCTGATGACTGTCATTCTTTTTATTTATTTATGTCACTTAAATTGCAAAAATAATGCATATGCTTAATCTACCCTTCTAGACATAGCAAAAACCAAAGGCCAGCTATTTTCAAGTTGATTCTGACTCTTATTGACCCATGTAGTAGCTGGTAGATTTGAACCACTGACCTATTGGTTAGCAGCCAGGTACCCTAACCATTGCATCACTCAGCATGCACATTAAAAAAAAATTGGAGTTGTATTACACATATTATTTTGCAACTTTCTTCCCCTACTAAGTGTGTCTCGGAACTCTTTTCCATGTACATCTTTCTCATTCTTTCAGAAATTCTACGGGAGATTTCCATGCTATTAGTATACCAGATGAACCAATTCTCTGTTTCTAGTCTTTGCCTAGTTTCTAATTTTTATTACTAATATTCTGTACTAATCTTTGCTATTGAAATCTGACCTTCTGCAGTAGTGTGAGTAGAGCATGGGAAGAAGTTACTTGTGGAAATATTTTGTTAGAGGATTTGTACGTTTAAAATTCACAGACACAAGTAAATGGTAACAATTTAGCCCTTAAAAAAATTTACAACAGGAATGAAGCAAAAAATGCGCAGTTTCTCTCACAGTGAGTGAGTCAATCTTTGTCCATATCAACATCAGTGATAGAGGTTATACTTTCTTGATTTTTAGATCAACACTTATTTTGCCTTGTCCAGTTTCTAGTGAGGCTGCGAAACATTTTTTATCTTTATTGATCATTTTTTAATATTTTTTTATTGTTATTATTATTATTATTCATTTCAGCGAACATCTACAGAGATTTTGGAATTCCATTCATTCATTGTTGCACTTTTCTCTCCACTTCTTTTTGTTTTTTGCCTTGTTTATGCTTCTTTACAACTTTGGTTTTTTTAATTTCTTGATGTTTAAAATGCATATATTATTCCCTTCTAGACATATTTAAAACAACAGAAAACTAACCCACCAGGCAGACAAATTAATTTTTGTTTCTGCCTTTTTTTTTTTATCATGATGTTTGCTGTAGTGATTTTCAGGATTTGTTTTTGTGCCATGCTTAGTTATCGTCTTTCCCCCGTTACATATTTTGCAAATGTTTCCCCTGTCACTGGCATTTTAACCTTGCTCGTATACCTGCCCATATTCTACTCGAATGTCTCTACAGTTTTGCCAGGGGGCCTCCTCTGCTGTCACTCAAATCCTTGAAAGGACAGTTTTCTGGAATGGAACAAATGGATTCATAAATCGAGAACAAGTTGCTTTTGTGGTGACGTACCCCAGCACCGAAGAGTCTGGAGAACCCCTGGTTTATAATAGTGTGTCCCAAGAAATGAACACTTTTTAAGGAAGAAGTATATGCTCAGGATGATATTGTATACCACTGAGTCAGAACCAGCCCATAGCTGACCCTCTGGTGGCTTTTCTCCCATGAAGAGATTGCCCAGCCTTCTGTGGGGCAGCTGGGGGATTCAAACCATGTGCCTTTGAGATTGCAGCACAGCTTCTTGCTACTAGGCCACCAGTGTTCCTGAAATGGGCACTTTTAAAGAAACTTGGTCTATGTGTGTGAGAGAGTGTGTTTGTGTACACACAGTAAAACCTTCTAAAATGGGAACCTGTGTAGAAACTTCCACTAATACAGAGAGAGCGAGAAATGGTAATGCTGCACCTTGTCAAAGGAGGAATCTGGGGAGACTTGGGAGAGCAGGTGAGTCTCGCCCAGGTCCAGCTCTCACAGGTTTTGTGCAGGGTTTGTGTGGGTGTGCGCGTGCGCGCGCGTGCTTTAGTTCTGAGCTGGCAACAGTTTCTTACTGTAGTGTTTTGTTAATTTATTCACATCTTTCTAGATTCAATGGATCTGTCCGCATAAATGGTTTTCCGCTTGGAGTCTGCAGCTTTATTGACGGAAATCCTAAACATACGGAGCCGTTATCTAAGCTGTTGATGTCCGTGCTAGGCGAGTCCTAGCATTTAATAGAGGAAGACCATTGTCTCTCTGGGGAACCATGCATTTCTTGCATTGATCCCAGCCTGTGTGCTGATAGACTCACTCATTTGTCCCATTGTGCCTGTGAGTCCTGGATACCAGGGAGGTAGAGATGCCTGAATTGAGAACTCTACTCTGTCTTAGTCTTATTTGCTATCCTCTAATGGTGGAACTTAGGTGGCCTAATGGAAGGGAATTGTGCTATCAGCCCAAAGGCTTGCTGTTCGAATCCACCAGCTGCTCCGTGAGAGAAAGATGGGAAGTTTCCTCCAGTGTTATTAACTGCCTCTGAAAACCTGTTAGAGGGTCAGAGCTAGGAGTGGTTCCAACTCAATGTTATGTGAGGACAACAGCAATAATGATAAATCTATTACGTGATTGCCCGATAACCAAATAATCAGTGGTTCAACCATATACCAGCAGCTTCGCTGGAGAAAAAACAGGTTATCTACTCCTATAAAGATTTCAACCTAGCAAACCCTCTGGGGCAGCTCTGCTCTGCCGCCCAGGGTCTCTCTGAGTCGGAATCAACCAGAAGGCAAATGATAAGAGGGGCTAGTGGGTAAGTAGTCAAATGCTACAGTGCTCACTGTAAAGTGTAGAAGAGAACACAGGAAATGGTGCTGATTCTGAATGGAGGGAAAGAGGATCTGAAGAATCACTGTGTAGTTGGCTTTTGAATTTGACCTTGAACACTATGCTAGATTTTGGCAGCAAGAGAATAAAGGAAAGGATACTTGGGTCAACATTCCAAGAACTGCTGGGATGTGTAAGGGGCCCAGGCCTGGCCCCAGAACATGAGTTTGTGGAATGCGTGACTATATGGGGTGTGTGCTGGAAACCACATGGCAAGGTCGGGGTTGGGGGGTGTTTGCGTGCCATACCGAGGACTTCAGCTGTTATCCTGGCCACACGCCTTCAAATCGGTGCTTCAGGGATAGCCACAATTAGCATTTTAGCCAAGTGTGGGTGGTTGGTGGCCTTGAGCAGGGTTAGAATCCACGTGAAGGTCCTTACAATGACCAAGAGATGTTGCAGGCCTGAGGAGTGGCCGCGACAATGGAGAAGGAAGGGTTAAGGGTTTATTTAGAAAATAGAACCAGTAGGAATTGGTGAGTAAGTTGACAGGGAGGAGACTGATGGAGGGAAGAGGGAAGGGAGAGAGGAGGGAGAAAATCAGGAGAGCTCTAGAATGAACCAGAGGGAGGGACTGCAGAGAGGCATCAGCGAAGAATCGCTTGACTTCACTGTGGGACAGGGTGGCTTGGACTGAAAAAGATCCCAGGTAAAGGCGTCCAGTGTGTGGTAAATATACCAGACGAGAGTTCCCAGAAAAGATGAAGACGAGATGCCTTGAGATAACAATACACTAGACAAAGCTGTAAGCTGCAGGTGAGGCTAAGAGAACACACGCCTTGAAGGGAGGAGTGACTTGGGGAGCACCCCTATTTAAGAAGATGGGCCCTTAGAACATAAATAATACACAGTGGAGGTGTTTGTTTTGTTGATTGGTATTTCTCCTCAAGCGCTTTATAAATATTCCCCACACGGTGCAGCGTAGGAGAGATACGTCATCCAGGAACTCTGAGGAGGAGTCGTCAGAGATAGAGATGGGGAGCTGGCCAGTCGCAGGAGAGGGAGACTGGTGAAGAGCATCAGATACAGCGGAGAATGGAAACGTTCATTTTCCACACCCTCAGCCTGTACCGGAGAGGTGTCAGTTGGATGGGAAGGCTGTGGAAAGGGGAAGCGAAGCTTCAGGCAGTTGAACAGTGAGGGAAGGGAGACGGCAGGGATGGCACTTGAGTGGCCATCTGGTGGAAGAGTAGAAGACGAGTCCTGTTTGGCTGGTGAAGTGGAGCTCCGCTCCTTGGACTGTGTCAGCCTCAGCTCTGGTCACAGGCAGGGGTTTCTGAGCGTGACTTCCCGGGCTGGCCGCATCTGCATCACCTGGCAAGTTGCTAGGTTGCCTACTCTCTGATTTCACCCAGACCTTCTGAATCAGCAACTTAAGGCGTGGTGAGGAGAGTTCTGGGTCACTCTGACACGTGCTAAATTTGAGAACACTGGCCTGCAATATCATTGGAGGAAAATTAAGCATGGTCAAGTTGATTTCCCTCTGAAGGGTGAGCTAGTGAGAGCCTCAAACTGGGAGCAAAAATTTACAGGAGGAACATCTCCAGGAAGGAAGGAAGCTCTGAGGCGAGTGTCTGCGGAGGACCCAGGGGCCCGGGCTTCCTTTATGCCTGTAGGGCCCGGAGTTCATCCACCTGACATAGCTCCTGCTCTGAGCCTCTAACGTCTCATCATGACATATAAACAGTTCTGCCTGCGGAAATGCTCTTTAACAGAATGTGGTTGTACATTGACTTAAGCCCTAGAATTCCCCGGCCCTCTTTTCCTATCTTTAAAGTACCTTCTACTGTTCTGGTCTGGGGTTTGCTCCAAGGGGCCGCCGTTGAAAGCACTCCAGGTGCAGATAGATGTTTCCCGTGACACTACTATAAGTTTACCAACACTCTGGCTCTTGTCCTACCAGGTCTGCGAGCTGGATATCATCTTTAACTTTGAAAAGGCTTATTTTATCCTGGACGAGTTTATAATAGGCGGTGAAGTTCAAGAAACATCGAAGAAAACGGCTGTGACAGCCACGCAGGAGTACGACATGCTCCAGGAGGTTGGTACAGACTTGGCCATTCGTGGGGCCCCGGGGTAGGAACATCAAGGGGAGGTGATCGGGACTCTGCGGTGAAGCCTGCAGGAATCGCAGAGAGGTGGAACGGGCTGCTTTGCCCGACGTTGCAGGTTTTCTGTAGTCTTGCCACGCTTTTATCTTGTTTTAATAGACAATGTTTGAGTTTTCCTTCTCTGATGGGCCCACGCCTTACACAGGTTCCAGCTTTCACAGATTGTACCGTGTTGGCCCACACTCAGGGATTCCGTTAACCCCTTGGGTGCTGCAATAGCTAACACTCAGTGGGCTGTTAAGCAGAGGGTTGGAGGGTGGAATCTGCCCAGGGGTGGATTTGGAAGAAGGGCTGGTGATCTGCTTGGGGGAAAATCAGTCACTTGAAAATTCTTGTTGTTCAGTTTCATGATGATACACTCAGGGTCACTGTCAGCTGTTATTGACAAGCACAGTACTTAGTCTTGGACGCTCAGCTAGTCTAGAGGTAAGAAGCTGCTCTGCAGTCCCCAAAGCATGCAGTTCAAGTCCACCGGCTGCTCTGTGGGGGAAGGATGGGCAGTCTCCTCCTTTGTAATTAACTGCCTCTGAAAATCAGCTGGAGGGTCAGCTCTGGGTCAGTTCCATGGTACACAACAAAAACAACAACAACAACAAGAACAACAGTACTTATTCTGTGTCAGTGTCAGATCTAAACAGAGAATTGATTTCATTCCCATGGCAGTTTTTAAGAGGCAGTGGTAGTCGTATTACCCTTGTTTTAGGGATGAGGAAACCGAGTCACAGAAATGGTAATGACCTGCCTGACAGCACAGGGCTAGTAAGTTTGTCACAGGGCAGCGGGGCTCCAGGGTTTTTGCTCTTTGCTTTTGGCCAAGCTTGTTAGTCATGGCACCTCACTGTAAAAACAAAACAAAACAAACACACCGAAACAAAACAAAAACCAACAACAAAAAAGGTATTGAGAGCTTGGTGCCGTTGTTTTCGTGAATGATTTGCTGAGAGGTGGGAAAAGCCTTTTCTTTAGATCTGTGCTGCCTGAGGAAGAGTAGCAACCCTTCAGTATTTCATTTGCTGGGAATATTAGAGCTTTATTATTGAAGATGGCATTCATCATTTTAATTAAAATTTCTCTTGCCTCCTGGGGAGGCTGTATGTTTCTATTTGCATAAATACATTCTGAACACGGGGCTTTCTTGCCAAGTGTAAAGGGGCCCAGAAATGCCGATTCAGACCTGCTCTTTGTTCCTGTGGAAGAACTTACCTACGTCCCTTTCTTAATACCCTCGAAGATGAGGTGACGTAACGACCGTGCCCAGCCCACAGGGACATGAGGAGGGCTTGGGTTGCATGCAGCCCACCACTTCCCAGGACTGCGTCCCACATCATTGGTGGGTTTCCCCAGCTTCCCCTTAAAATCGTGGAGTCCCTGGGTGGTGCGAATGGTTGACACTTTTGTCTGCCAACCACTGGGAAGTTCAAGTCCACCCAGACACACCTTGGATGAAACACTGGGCAATCTGCTTCTGGAGAAGCAGCCACTGATAAGATCATGCGACACAGTTCTACCTGACACAGAGAGGGTGCCCCTGAGTCAGAATGAGCTTGAGGGCAACTATTGGTGTTTTTATAATGACAAAGCTGGGTGATCGAAAGATGGTAAAAGAGCTTTTACAAATTGGTATGAGAAGTCCTGCTTCTGGGAAGTGAGAGGCCGAGTAATAGCCTGGAAACAATACCAGATGAGATGTTCCAGTGACACTTTGGTCCTTCTCTGGGTAATTTACTTGCTCTGTCTTCCAAGAGGCTCAGCCCTGGGGTATCCAGCCTCAGTCTCCGTGAGTGGGCACGCAGAAGAGTCTGTGCGCCCATTACAAGGAGAGGCAGTCATTGCCAAAGACGTTTGTTCCCGCTCCGAAATACAGTTAAACTTTCCACTGTTTACTTGGCTTTTGCCAAGTGCCACAGGAAGGGAACGTTATAAGGTACTTGGGGGAATCAGTAGCTTGGAAATTCTTCACAGTAGCCTTACTTAAAATATCCTAGGGAGTGGAGCGGGCCAGCTCTATATAAATCTACCCTCCTAGCCCTTGCTGGAGCATCTCCTTATAGGAGAAACAGGTTTTTAACAGGGCCTACGGGTCATGTAGGAAGCCTGGTGGCATAATGCATAGCACATCAGAACTGCTAACCAAAAGGTCAGTGGTTCCAATCCACTCTATGGATTGGGGAACAGACAGCCCCACAAACCCAATGGACTGTCTCTGGGAGCTGGAATTGACTCGACCGCAGTTGAGACTGGCTTCGGGTTTGAGGATTTAGTAATTAAAGTTCTTTGAATTGGGGCCAAGACACACTGATTATTTTAAATGCTTCTCAGTACAGTAAAGTGCCAACAGTGTTCCTGGTGTTTCTAAAGTGCTTTATCATCTGGAAGACAGGTATTTCAGGAGAAAGCCTATCTCTTCAGACAGATCAGCACTGATTGGTAGTTCATGTCCCTGGTGATTGAGTAGGGCATCTTGGTGGGCAGGAGCCTGGGGACCCTCCAGTTAGCCTCTACCCTGTGAGCAGCAGTGTCCCTGCCGCCCCCTGAACCACTCTTGATGATTTAGGAGACCTTGTCACCTTGAGGAAGTGTGTTTTTGGTGGTCCCCTGGGCTCTGGTGCCCACTTGAGCTCAGTCAGTGAACATTTAGGGAGTTCCTTAAAAAATTGACCTTGTATTGATCACATGAAAGAATTTTATACAGTCAGTGACTTTTCATTGCAAATATTTCAGAGCTGCTCTACATAGAGTCACTGTACATTACAGGCAACTCACTGGCATATAAAAACAGTAACATTCTAGGACAGGTTTTGGAAGCAGGAGTGGTATCCACTTCCTAAATAGCATGCCTCTGGAAACTATGAGTTGTGCTTGACTTGAAGGCAATCAACAACACAGCAAATGAAAACTGTATTCCTAGGCTGTGTCTGGTGGGATACACAGGACTCACATCCGCTGCACCTGTGGAAAGAGACGGTGGAGGAGCTGAGTATCAGTAGTCAGAACAAGGCCAGGGCTGATGGTAGAACGGACCATCATATGCAGGTTCAAATAGAAGCTTAAGACAAATCCATGAGAGCCAAAATATGACATTAAGTTTATCTCATCTGAATTAAAAACTGTCTCAAGAATAAGTCTGATGCATTGAACACTTAACGACTGAAGACCAGAACAGCTGTGGGATGACATCAAGCACATCTTATGTGAAGGAAGCAAAAGGTCATTAAAAAGATGGGGAAGAAAGAAAAGACCGAAACAAGTGTCAGAAGAGCCTCTGAAACTTGCTCTTCACTCTGGAGAAGCAAAAGCAAAAGAGAGAAATTATGAAATAAAAAGAGCTGAGCAGAAGATTTCAAAGGGCAGCTTGAGAAGACAGAGCAAAGTATTCAACTGAAATATACAGAGATGTGTAGACAGAAAACCAAATGCGAAGAGCACATTCAGCTTTTCTCAAGCTGAAGGAATGGAAGAACAAAGCCGAGCAAGTCTCAGTTTGCAGTATTAATACTGTATGGGCAAAATCTTGACTGATGCAGGAAGCATCGAAAGACGATGGAAGGGACACACAATCACTGGAAGGGACAATCTCTGTACCAAAAAGAATTGCCTACATTGAAACATTTCAGGAAGTAGCAGATGATCAAGAAGCAAAGAAGGAAGGAGCCCGAGCTGTTTGGAAGACATTGGCAAAGGAAGAAGTCCTCGGGAATTGATGGAATACCAGTGGACATGTTTCGACAAACAGAGGGCAACTCTGATGTGCTCGCTAGTCAATGTCAACAAATTTGGTAGACGGCTGCTGGCCAGTGGTCTGGAAAAGATAATATGTTTGTTCACATTCACCCCAAAAGGAGATCTAGTGGAGTGCAGAAATTATTGTTGTTGTTGTTATGTGCCGTCCAGTCGTTTGCGACTCATAGCGACCCTATGCGCAACAGCCCTAAACTCTGCTCTATCCTGCGCCAACCACACCGCCTCTGACACACCCATCCCGATTACCCCGGTCACCAAATCAATCCATCTCATAGAGGGTCTTCCCCTCCTGCGCCGTCCCTCCACCCTCCCAAGCATGATGTCCCTCTCCAAGGACCCGTCCCTCCTGGCAGCATGTCCAAAGTATGTCAGACGAAGCCCCAGAATCCTTGCCTCCAAGGAGTAGCTTGGTTTAATCCTCTCCAAGATGAATCTGTTTGTTTTCCTGACAGTCCATGGTACATTCAGTATTCTTCTCCAGTACCACAGCTCAAAGGCATCAACTCTCCTTCTGTCCTCCCTAGTCATTGTCCAACTCTCTGATGCATAACAAGCGATTGCAAAGACCATGGCCTGTATCAGGCGCACTTTAGTCTCCAGAGAGACACCGTTGCTCTTGAGTATTTTAGAGAGGTCCCTAACAGCAGACTTTCCCATCGCGATATGCTTTTTGATTTCCTGACTGCTGGTGCCAAGAGTGTTGACTGTGGAACCGAGCAAACTAAAGCTGTGAACAATCTCAATCTCTTCACCATCCATCCTGACGCTGCCAATTGGTCCAGTGGTGAGAATCTTTGTCTTCTTGACATTGAACCTCAGTCCATACTGAAGACTGCAGTCCTTGACCCTTCGCAGCAAGTGCATGAGGTCCTCCTCAGTTTCAGCAAGCAGGGTTGTGTCATCTGCATAACGCAGATTGTTAATAGATCTTCCACCAATCCTGATGCCACAGTTCTCCTCATAGAGCCCTTTGGACATGTTGCCAGGAGGGACGGGTCCTTGGAGAGGGACATTATGCTTGGGAGGGTGGAGGAACGGCGCAGGAGGGGAAGACCCTCTATGAGATGGATTGATTTGGTGACTGGGGTCATCGGTATGGGTGTGCCAGAGGCAGTGCGGTTGGCGCAGGATAGAGCAGAGTTTAGGGCTGTTGTGCATAGGGTCGCTATGAGTCGTAAACGACTCAACGGCACATAACAACAACATTATTACTATGATATACAAATAAAACCCTGCTGAAGATTATGCGAAACTAGCTGGAGTAAGTACATCTACAGGGAGCTGGCAGAAGTTCAAGTTAGAATCAGGTGAGGCTATGCAACAAAGGATATCTTTGCTGATGTCACATGGACCTAGGCTGAAAGCAGAGAATGCCAGAAACATTAAATGTCACAGATCATAGTAAATGGAAGAATGGAATTCCAGAACACTTAATTGTACTCATGTGAATCTTGTACCTAACCAAGAAGCAGTGCTTTGAACAGTACAAGAGAATACTGTATGATTTAAAGTTAAGAAAGGTGTGTGTGAGGGTTGTATCCTTCATACCTACTCAACCTGTAGGTTGAGCAAGTAATTTGAGAGGTTAAACTATGTGAAAAAGAATATGGCATCAGGCTTGGAGGAAGACTCATCAACAACCTACAGTATTCACAAGACGTAACTTTGCTTTCAGAAACTGAAGAAGACTTGAACCATTTATTGAGGAAGATGAAAGAGTACAGCCTTCAGTATGAGTAACACCTCAATGTCAAGTGAAGGAAAATCCTTGTGCCCTAATGGGTAAGAAAGGCATGGAGAGACTAGAAAGGCATAGCATATACACTTCTTGATGCATCCAGATGCAGGTATCACTGATGATGTTCCGCTATGCACACCTCAGCCTGGGAAAAGGCAAGGTCAGAGCTCTTTCAGACTGTACCAGCCTAGGATCCTATCCAGCCTTTAGCAAAGTAAGCTCTGATCTGTGTAACTTGGGTAAACAGCACAGCTTGGGAAGGGCAGTGTGACGTTCAGCTGACTGAGTCATCGGTGGTGCCAGGCAGTGCCAATAACAAGAGGCCAGTGAACCTTGAAGCCAATAAAGTGTCACCTTCAAGGCCTTTTGCTGGCTCAGATTCCTTCTAAGGCTGCAGGGAGGACCTAACAATGATTCACATGTATAAATACTTTTAATTGCAAAGAATACATAGCCATATTATCTAAAAGAAATATTATAGAAGTGTGCCAGGCACTTCTTGGTGAAAATTATATAGTGTTGTTTTGGATTTTGTAGTATGAATGGTCTCATTCATATTTTTAAAATGTATAATCTGTTGTGATGTATTTTTTCATACTAGGTAAAAGCTATACCTAGATTTGTATTTGGAAACTTATTCTTTAAAAAATTCTGCTAGCTTCAGACTCTACGAAATGTGGATTGGTTCTGGCCAATACACTGTTGCTGGGTGTTGTGAAGTCATTCTGACTCATAATGACCCTTTATACCGCTGTACAGAGCAGTCCAGCAGAGCAGTGTAAAACACCCCAGCGGAACACTGCACCGTCTTCAGCCACTGCTGTGTTTGAGTTCATTGTGGCAGGTGCTCTGTCGATCTGTCTCCTTGATGATTGTTCTGTTTGTCACTGACTCTATTACGTATTATGTCAGTACACCAGCCTTGCTAAATGACCAGGTACACATGCCAGCATCTGTTGGAAGAGATACAAGGGCTTGTTTTAGAGTGTGACCTCCTTGCTCGTCAAGGAGGACCAAGAGCCTGGAAAGGAAGTATGCATGACTGGGTGAAAGTGTTTTAGGAAGAAAAGCCCTGGGATTCAAGTAGAAGAACAGTAGAAATAAAATAGAAAACCTAGTGTGTCACACTAGCTAGATATGCATGCAAAAGCAAGATAACGAAAAGGGAAATCAAATTTATGTTGTGCAAACCATGGTGTTGGAAAATACTGCATACACTGTGGGTTGCTGGGAGAACAGACAAACCAGTCAGTCTTGGAAGACTTAGAACCAGAATACTTTTTAGAAGGGAGAATGACGAGACTGTGGCTCCTTTACCTTGGGCCTGTCATCTGGAAAGACAAACTGGTAGACGAAGACATCATGCTTGTAAAGCCGAGCGTCAGTGAAGAGGAGACTAACCCTTAGGAGATGATTTGACATGACAGCCACTGCAGGGGGCTCAGTGACATCAGTGGTCACCAGGATGCCGTGGGACCAGACAGAAGTGTGTTCTGTTCTACTAAAGATTGCCCTATATCCGAGACCACGACAAATCCTAGTATCCTTTGAGCACACTTGGTCGAACCTTAACTTTGGTCTGTGTGGCCCATGCTGGTATGCTTTCTTCCAGGTATCAGTGGTTTGCTTACCCTGGGTTTCAGCTTAAGAAGTTGGGCATTTCTTAGCATGCTAATGAATTCACAAGCAGAGGGAGAGTGATCAAATGACACCTTCTTGCTCCCTTGGATTCCCTTTTACATCCAACTCCAAAGCCAAGGGTAACTCCAGAATATTCATGTTTTACAAAAGAAGAGACTGCAAGAAAACCTCCCTCCGTCTTGTATGGTGTTTTGCCTGCACAAGGCGTCGTTTTAACTCTTTCTGGTAATGAGGTGCCCTTTAAGACAGCTTCACCTCCGAGGGGCCTTATGTACAACAGAAATCATAGCTCGTAACTCTGAGTTTGTTCAAAATTCTTTTAGAAGTTCAGGAAACAATTATGGCCTATACATGTTTGCAAACTTGCTAGCACATCTGATGAGGAGTAAAACAGAATTTGTCTACTTTGTAGGAAATATTTTCCAACACATTTGATGATATCCTTGTTAATTTTTTTTAAAATTTTATTATTTTTGTGTGTGTACCGCCAAATCGGATCTGATTGGTACAGGAGGAGATTGTCCCTCCTTCTCCAGCAGAGCACCTGGTGGACATTTGACGATATTAATTACGGTTTGTTTAGCCTCTAGATCTTGGCATTAAGTATAGTAAGATGTTCTTCATAGCATATGTTACCATGTCTCTAAGGCATGGGTTTTGGGCTAATTTTAGCACATAGTTTTGTGTCAGTGGTGCTCTTTCGGCATCTGACGTATTGTTGTTAGGTACATTAGGTCGACTGTGACTCATAGTGACCCTATGATCTGTCATGATGGAGCACATCATGCTCAGAAGGGTGGAGGGAGGGACAGCGCAGGACAGGAAGACCCCGAATGAGATGGATTAATACAGTGACTGGAGTAAGAGGGGTAGGTATGTCAGAGTCAGTGAGACTGGCTCAGGACAGGGCAGGGTTCAGAGCTGCTGTCCATAGGGTCTCTATGGGTCACAGGCGACTCAACGACATACAACAACAACAATCAGAAATTCATTTAATGATCAAACTTAAAGTTTTCTCAGTTGAAAGTTACTTGTTCCAGTCACAAATGTGCGTGTATTGGTAAGTTATACCCACCTTCTTTGGTGAAAATGCAAAGATTTATGTTCAGATGAGTTTTAGAAATTCCTCCCTTTCATTATGAGAAAATGAGAAGAAAGAATGAAAGAAAGTCCAAAATTTCTATCTGTTCATAGTTTAAAAGGAAAACTGTTCTAATGTTTGGTTTTCTTTCAGACAATGGAAGAATACATGAACAAGCCTACTTTTTAACTTTACACCTACTTGAAGACCCGGAGTGCTACACATTGTGACTCTGTAAATAAATGATGTCTTTGCATTGATCTCCCGACGGTGCCCCTGGTATCATGCCAATAAGAATGTAAAGGGATTATTTGGTAACTAGCAAAATTTGAAGTTGTTTAACATATTTATAATTATTCCATGTCTGTATTATATTGTACATGAAGAACACTTATTGTAACTATGAATATTAAAATAGCTCAGTGGACAGAATATTTGTAATGATCTTAACTCCATATGACACCTTAAGGCTAATTTTGATAAATTGGTTGCAATATATTTTTGTTGGTTGAGACCCTCTCCTGACAGGTTGAAACTTACGTTTGATATAAGTGGTTTTGAATATAATTCTGTCTTGTGTCAATGTCATCTTTTTTTACATTTCACCTTTTAAAGGAATGTTTATGGATAATTCAAAATTATGTTAGTAATCCAACATTTTTACAGAATACTAGGTATTTTTAATACACTGAATAATACTGTAATTTCATTTTAGAAGCAAAGTGTCTGATTTTTAAAAATGTGATTATATTTTTTCATGATGAGATTTATGGAAAGTAACCAAAGATAGTACAGAATTCAGGAAGTGTTTTTGATGCCTCAGAAGCTGCTAGCAAGCTGATATTTTGAATTTCCTTTTTAATTGAATAAAGGGATATTCTGGAAGAGGGTGTTTGCTACAATATAGATTTGTTAAAGTTTCAAGAGATCTGGAGAACATGGCTAAGGCTTGACTTTTATAGAAACAGTAGAATGAGGAGGACTAAAAATTGCTGTAATTATCACTACTAGTAATTACTACTGTAAGGAGCCCTGGTGGCCTAGTGGGCAAAGAGTTACAGGCAGTTCAAATATACCAGCAGCTCCAAGGGAGAAGGACGGACAGCCTCCTCCAGCGTGAATTACAGCCTCTGAAAACCCACCACTGGCTCAGCTATGGGTCATTCTAACTTGACGTCAGTGACTGGAGCTGGGCACTACTTCAAAGAATCACATGTACCATGTACTTGAGTTGCTTGATAGCTTCTGTTTCAGGTGTTTTCCTACATCTAATGTGTTTGTTGACTAGGCTTACTTAAGAACATTTAGAAGTAGAGCAGCCCTATGCTAGATGGTTTCCGTTTTCAAATCTTTGATCCTTCCTTCTCCGACCCCAGAGTGAATATCTGCTCCTGCCCGTTACTACTGTGAAGATATGCCATCGACGTCTCCTGGAATAAAATTTACCCACCACTTAATAAATAGAATCAGACTATTCTAGGGGACCTGGGTGGTGTGTTGTGTAATGCTTTGTGTTGCCAACCAAAAGGTTGATGGTTCGAATCCATCAGCCACTCCATGGCAGAAAGACTGGCAGTCTCCTCCCTTGAGAATTTTTAACCTCAGATACTGGAGGGAAGGCTGCTGAGTCAGAGCTGACCCCAGGCAGTGGGTTTAATTTCTGAGTATTTGACAGGCCATTGGGACAGGCCATTCCCTGGAGAAAGACGTCCTGCTGGCTACTGAAAACTAAGAAGCCCTTCAACGAGATAATATTGATACACGGCTCTTATGATAAGCTTAAGCATAGCAAGGAGGATGAGGATGGTGCAGACACAGGCAGTATTTTGTCTGCTTCCCGTGGGGCTGCTCTGAGCTGGCACAAGGTGGTACCTGCCTGTATGTTCTGCTTTTTGTGTCTTGCTCATTTTCAATGTTAGCATTGGCGTTTGCCTAGAATTCCTTTTGGAGTGGTCAGGGACCCCTCTAGCGCTTTTCCTGAGGGAAGTGTGCTTGTTGTTGGATTCCACTGGGAACTTCCCACATGGGAGATCTTTACAGAACAGATGGCAGCGTGTCCTCTGGCCCACATGGGCTCATGATTTCAGGAATGCTGACAGCACTCGGCCAGAGGGAAGGGAGGAAGATGGTCCAGTTCCTCAGTAGGTTCATTAAGAAAAGGAAATCAGTCAATAGCACATAAAGACATTATTAGGCTTCTAATGTCTACTTTTTTCCTCAAAGGATGGCATCTGATTGAAGTAAAACTATCGTTTTTTTTATTACTTTGTTTACTTTAAGTCTTCAGATTTGTAATTTAACTTTTTTTTTTTAATATTGAAGAACTCTATGTTAAAACATAGAGTAAGCATAGACTTTATGTAACTCTATTGAGTTTTTCTGGTTCTTCTGGATGTTACCACCACTTTTGGGTGAAAACTTTTTTTGGGGGGAAACATAAAATACACTGTACATATTCTAGATAAGTCATTTCATGGTAGACCCTGGCTCTATCTCATGCGCTTCAGAGATTCCTGTCATGCCTCACTTAGAATAAGCATTTTATGACGCGCTGGGCTAAATTCAAGGGGTCTAGGGTGTATCTTCATGGGCATTGATGACCAATCATTTTTCTTGATATTATGTAATGATGATGATGTTACCAAGTAAAAGCAAATATTAAATTTGTATAAGCTTTCAAAATAAAATATTTTCAAATATTTTATGTGGCTTTTGTGCTTTCAGAAATGTTTTTCTATCAGGTTTTATGCTTGTCATTGCTGTCCATAGTTTCTGGTGAAGTCTTTTAATTTGATCTTCCTGTTTTAGTATTTCCCATCGAAGAGGACCTTCACGAGCAGGCAGATGGGCTTACTGTGCATTGTCGTTTTTATTCTCCTGACTTCTTTCTTACTATTTTTAGTAATCTGACTTCTTTACTTTTGTAGTTCAGGATGCAGTCTTTCCTGTAATCTAAGTAGCTCTTCCTTTTCTTTCATCAGCCAGTGTAACGTTGGCATGCCTTAGGATAAACCAAATATAGTTTTTGGTCAGTATTTTATTAGTGCCTTTATTTTAAAAACACATTTTTAGTTGTGATTTGAGTGAAAGTTTGCAAAGCATATCAGTTTTTCAGTCAATCATTTATAGACATTTTATAACATTAATTACAGTACCCACACTAGCTGGCCATCCATTTATTGTATATTATCTCTCCTTTTGCCTCTCTTAAGAAGCTGTGCTGCAATTTCAAAGGCTGATAGTTTGAGTCTACCAGCTACACAATGGGAAAAGGATGGGCAATTGCCTCCTGTGTGATTAACCGCCTCTGAAAACCCAGTGGAGGGTCAGCTATGGGTCAGTTCCAACTTGACGGTACACAATAACAACAACATCATCTACTTGTTACTTTCACCCCCTCTCCATCCCTTCAATGCCTAATCATCATCTAAGAATGCCCTTTTTAAACTCTTTCTTACTAATAGTGTATGAGCACAAACAGTATTTGTTCTTATGTGTCTCATAACATTATTCACGATAATAAAGAGATAGAAATGACCCATGTGTCCATTCACACAGAATGGATAATGAGGCTGGTGTAGTCCTATCATGGAGTGTTGTTGTTGTTGTTGCTAGGTGCCATTGAGTCACAGATGACTCATAATGACCCTGTGAACGAAAGGACTGAGCGCTGTTCATACATAGAGTTTCCGGAGGCAAGCCATTTCGGAAGTGGATGCCATTCCTGCTTCCAGGCTTGTTTTAGTTGGGAAGCTCCAGCAAACACTGTCCACCACGGGTATCAATTACCACATTTGACCCATCAGTATCACAGCATTCAGCATCACAGCAACCACGAGTTACCTCTGTACAGCAATGCACAGACCAGTGCTGTACCACTTAGAAGAATGTTTGACAGAAAAACAGTTTGAACCTGGCCTGAGGGCTGCAGATTAAAATCACCCACCTTGGGCTTGGTAGCATCACTTTCTGTCCACTAGGCCAACGTAGCTCTCTTTCTATGTTGTCATTATTGTCGTGCTGTGCAACATTAAAAAAAAAATTGTGGACGACTGCTTAACATAGATGAATCTAGAAGACATTCTTGATGAAAAAAGCCAAATAAATTTTCAACCCATTCAAACTTCATATCATATATCTGATAAAATGATAAGGCTTTTCACCAAGTATACATTGATGTTCTTCTAAACAGATTTCGTGCCCCCACCCCCTTTTTTTTAAGGATAGGAGAGCTCTGATAGCCCCGTGGTGAGGAGTTGTGCTGCCAATCCAAAGGTAGACAGTTTGAATCTATCAGGTGCTCTGAGAGAGAAGGATGGGCAGTCTTTTCCCATGCATGTTACAGCCACTGAAAGCCCACTCGAGGGTCTGTTATGAGTTAGTTCCTACTTCCTGGCACATAATAACCATTTGGAAAGGAGAATTACAATAGGAATTACCCTTACACTGTCGTAGAGGGAGCTGGGAGATCAGAGATCAGGCCTGTCACTTAAATTGACCATTTGGAGAAGAGACACGATCTAGTAAGTTGTCCACAGTGTTTTATGGAAGAAACAGAGTCACACAGTGCAGTAGAAATGGACTCCAAACCGAGTTTACCATGATGATGCTGCCGCTAAATTTACTGCTGGACTTAGGAAAATTAATTTCCACTCTGAACATTTAAGTTTCCTGTATGTGTGGCGGCTTCTTTTCTCAGGCTTTGTCTCTGGATAGGCCCTCGTGATCCTTCAGGGCTCCGTCTCAGCCACTCGATTCATTGCCATCAAATTGGAACTGACTCATAGCTGACCCTCCAGCAGGTTTTCAGAGGCTGTGAATGGAGCTGCATGGTTGTGAGGGAGGAGGCACAGTTGTCCCTGTTTCTCACGGGTGTGGCGGGTGGAGTCCAGCCAGGTGCCTTTGCACTGACCGCTCAGCTCCTCGCCGGCTCAGCCACCAGAGCTCCCTTCAAGGCTCAGTGTCAAGGGTATTTCTTGTAGAACATTTCCTCCCTTCTCTTGAACAAGATTGGCATCTTACGTTCTCAACAGCTCCTCGTTTTCATGGTATCAGACATTTGTTGGGTAGTTTCCTGAAGGCAAATGTCTTATGGATTCTCTGCATGGCACACAGACAAAAGGTTTAATATACAGATGAATGATTTTCATTTTTTCACATGATCCTACAGCTTTTTATTGATGTTCTTT